TTTTTGGCAATTGTGTCCTCACAGTTTCTCCAAGTTATGATTGTAATGCTCCCTTTGGCATCCACTGTCCGATTAATGACTTAGCGTGAATGTTATATTATAAAGGGTGTTAGTAAATGTACTAAGGTTGTGTATAGTAGATTTTGAAAAATTAATTTCTATTAACTATTCCGCAAATGATAAGATCTTTACTTTTATGATATCTTTGTTAAATTATGAAATGCGGAGTATCTTATCTTATCTTATTCCTGACTTGGAACGGGCATCTTATGTGAGAATGGTGGATTAATCCTGGTTTTATAGCTAGCTAAACCCCTCACTTGTACGACAGTCGCATTAAATTCCAGTGGTATCTACAATATGGATATTCATCAAGTCGTAAAAGATATTAAGTTCATTTTAGAGATCTTGTTCTTGTGAATAACGATAATTGTAATTGTTCCCTTTCTTTAAAAAAATCAAACATGGAGTGTATACATCATTAATTTGTGATTATGATTTAATTAAGAATTGTTTTCCTTTTACAATTCGTATTATGACTTTCAAAATATTTGGCGCTAGTAAGGAAGCTCCATAGTTAAGAGGTTTTTGTTTTGTTTTTAATTTACGGAGTAATCAAGTTACAACAGAATTTGATCTAACATAATTAGTAGCTATAAATAACACAATAAGGCACTATTCTTTATTCATTTAAATTTAAAGGGAAGAAGCCAAATACACTACTTACATATAAATGCATAAAGTCAGCATATGAAACGACATAAAAATTTAAAAATACATTTTATCTAAAACAAGATCGAAAGACTTTGTCGCTATTCAATAAGTGTAGTATCTAAATGTTTGCTTCCTTTGTAAACGGTCGATTCTGCGGTCACACGTTTGACATGAATAGTGTCTGATTTCAGTGTAAAAATGGTCAATGGTTTTCCGTAATTAACAAAGTGTCCCATTTCTGGTGTAAATGTTTTGTATCTAAGATTCCACTTTAAAAATAATCATTTCAGTTTGTATTAACAAGTCGCCACATAGTGGCTACACTCATGAACAAGAACAATAGAAAATTACTTCTTCTTATAATAGAGAAGAGATAATCATTAGTAAAACAATGCCGGTAATGATACTGGACAAATTTATTTCTAAACAACAATAATTTATTTTAAAGAAAATATTTGTTAAACTGTGTTATTAGAAATATATATGCAAAGACACGATGTTTTATGGTAATTTTTTTACGGATATAATTGCATTTGAAGCCTGTGAAACTGAAATATAACAAATTTTAATCTTTGTCGCATATTGATTAAAACAGTGGAAACAAAACAGGTCCACAATGTTCGTAATGTTCCACATAGTTTAAGTATGTTACAATTTCACAAAGTATACTTATTTTTCACATTTTAAGTTTTCATGTCAACGTGATCTTTCAATATAGCAATGTTGTCTTCTCGTGAATATAACAATTTAAAAGTGATGTTTTTGCAGGTTAAAACATTAAAGATAACTATTTTTATAAAGTAGGTTATCGGTAAAAAGATTTTAACTTTTTTTTATAATTTTATGAAAAGGTCGTCTCGTTTTCTGTACATGTACATGTACATTTACGTTCTACTCGGTCCATTCACATTCAATGTTAAATCCGGATAAGAACCGTTTGAATTTGCAAAGTAACTTAATTTTAAAAGTGTTAATCATTGCTGCATATTAATCGATTCCATGGAGTTTCCCCTGAACTTCTCTGCTTCTCTGCTTCATACATGTACGGATAGTTGAAGTACTCTAGAGAGGTATGTAGAAATATATGTTGAAGTTGGTACTCCAGGAAGTTATTCGCCTTTAACAACATTTAAAACTAATTATTTACAAATATCCTTTTGCCTGATAAACTCGTCGTTCGCTATTTAAGGAGGAAAATGATAAACTTGTATGATTTATTTTTTTTATTAATCTAATTTATTGTTACTATTTACCAGCATTTTTTCTTGTGAATTTAAATTTATAGCGTCCTTGCATAACGAACAAAACATTGTACAGATCTAGATTTCAGTTTTAACAGGGGAAGAAATATTTTGTTACTAGATTTTCCAGTGACATCATAGATATAGTTAATAATATAAACAGATATTTCGACGTCCTTTGTATGCCCCGACAATAAAATGCCAGACACGTTGTTTTACACCTGTTGATCTGTTGTAGGGTATATGGTTTGTCCAGATACTTTTGTTTGTCCAAAAGTTTTCAAACTGTTACATTTATATCATGCAGATTGATTGTTTATACGAATGAAAGGTTTGCATTTTATCAGGATTTTGATTTTCTATTTTCCGGCATTTTTAATGAACGATACATGCAAGAGGAGAAATTTTTAAAACCCCATCATAGTTTGGTTGACCGTTATGACATATTTTTGTCCATAGTTATATCGGTTTAGACTCTTATTATCCTTCCCTTCACTTATATCATTCTGCTCAGATGCTCCGTGATTCTAGTATCACGGCTTTCAGAACGAGCAGACATTATCAGCGAAGTGACAATGTCTAAGGAGAAGGGAACAGTGCCAGCAATATAATGATTAACAGAAAGGTTAACAGTGTGGCTCGCGGATGATCTCTTACTATATCAATATGTAGAAAAAACTCCATAATCTATACTTTTATTTTAAATACCCGGGCAACAATTAAAAATATTGAAATTACTAATTTTTGTTTACCTTGTCAAGAAAGTCCAGTATCTTTTGACATTACGCCAATGAGGTTAACATTTATTTAAGATGACAAAAAGGAGTGTTACAGGATTTACTCACTCTTTGAAATTAAATTCTAGAAAATTGACGATATTCAGATATAATTCATAAAAAAATCACGATACTGGTCTTGGACAACGGAGGATCACTTGCAATAAAATTCATCATCCATCTTAGTTTATTCACTAACTGTTTACTGTTTTAAGTATCCAGTATGTTTTTTTTAATTTTTTTTTTTTTATTTTAAATCTATTTATTTTTATTTATTTTTTCATTATCTACTTTAATATAAATATTTGAGTTAAAACTATGTTTATGATATGCTTTTATATATGCCAGATATATCATTTGACTATAACTGTAAATATGTAAGCTTTTAAACATATTGACAAATTCCTAGACTCTAATTCCCAGTAAAATGTTTTCTTATTCAAACACCTAGATGTATTGTCAAAAACAGTAAAATTATTTTTCTGTACACATGTTAAACTCATTTAAGGAAGTTTGCTGCTCAGTTTCAAAATAAATAGCTTTTCATAAAACTATTAAATATTGATAGGGGATTAATTAAGGAATCAAAAAGGCAAAAAATATATAGAGGTCAATGTGCTTGTTTTTGAGATATTAGCCATTGACATTTTGGCGGGAAAATGTTCTCTCTTGATTTTTCATAGCTTTATCATTGACAAGTTAAAGTTCTCAAAAACTATTAAAAAATAAATAAGATTTTATAAGACTTTTACAAATGGCTTAAAATTATACATGCAAAAGATTTATAAAAAGAAAAATGGGGGTCAATTGGCAAAATGTTTTAAGGCATTCAAATGGATAAAACCAGAGGATTCCGAAAATCTGACAAAAATTCCAAAACATGACAAGCGAACATCCTTAAGAAAACGTTAGACTTATATTACTGTAAGCAACGGTTAAGAATGCATGAGTCAATAAGAAAGAGTCACTCGCAACAAAATGATTTTGCACCATAGGTTTTCAAATTTATGCGTTCCTGGTGAAGGTTGATCTAGCAGAGGCCTTCGCGTTCCACAACATCATAAAGTGTTACCTTTATTGTCATCGTAATAATTTGTTGTAGTACTAAAAAAAATACACACATAGCCTTTGACCTGGTAAACCTAATGTCAATGGCGTAACCCTTTTCTGTATTTTTTTCTGAAACAAGAGTGATTTCAATTACAAATCAGTGTTTTACATTGTGCAGTTATAATATTCAAATCTAATTTTGTAGAAAGAAATTACGAGTTTGACTGATACAAATACTGAACATAATATCCTTTACGATGAACTGATAGTCAAAAGGTAAGAAGTGGGCTTTATCTAAAATATTTCCTTTAATAGTTATATGACGACCAAGCAGTTTTAGAATTTCGTTTCGGGTAAACAATGTAAAGTTTACAATGACATAGGTACAAGGAAAGCGATAACAGAATTTTCTTACACCTGTTTATCTGAATAATTCAAAGAGATTGGTTTACGTTAATTTCATTACATTAAATAAAAAAAGGTCATATACTGGCGTCAATATTTAAGATCCTTTTTATACTATTTCTTTCGGATGATCCAGGTATTGATCGATTTGGTGGTTTGTTGTCCAATACTGTACATAAAAGAACAGACTTCCATTTGTAAAAGAAAGTCAGCAGAGAATTGATTAAGGATGTAGAACGGGTTTTTTTCTTTGTTGACATAGTTATTTGGTTTCCTAGTGATTCAGATTCTAACACAATGTTGACTGTTGTATCCCAATTTTTGACGTTTTTACCTATTAAGTCTGCTTTTTTTGCTGACATATTGTTGTCAATATAATAGAATTTTATGCGACTGCCAAACAATTGCAGCGGGTTTAAACGTTTTAATGGTACCAAACCTTCACCCTTATCTGAAACAATAGTGCAACATCACAACATAGAAAGACAAACTATAAAATACCAATTAAATTAGTTTAACTCAATCAAAAGACATATTAACACAAGTGAACATACACTGAACGAATAAATTCGATCTATAATACAATGAAAATACATAATCAATTAGATAAGGGATGAATAATAAAAGTAACAAAAAAAAATAACAGTATTATACTACTGTGAAATGTTAAACAATTTCAGAAAAATAACAAAATTGAATAATAACCTTGGAAAAAAATCTGCCATTTACAATACTATTAAACACAGTTAAATGAAAATAATTTAGTTGTTAGGTATATACAGATTAAATAGAAAAAAAAATATTTTTACAAAATGAATAATTTTGATGTTCATAGTACGAAGAAGTGAAAATTTTAAGTGGCCAATTAATAATAAAAAACATGCATCAGAGACTAAATCAAGGCCTTTTTGTGGATCTTGTGTCAATACTTGCCCGAACTGCCCAGGTTTCAAGCTCTGAGGTCGTATCAAGCTGTGCCCTGTAGAGCATTTTATCTTTTGGAGGAGTCATAAAATACATATCAAAGGAATAACTAAATTAATACATTACTATATAATGTTATTTTGCAGTTTGGTTGAGATGTTATTCAACCATGATTTCATCCGAACATCGTAGCTTCTATCGCTCTATATACTTTAAACCACGAATCCAACGCCACGTGTCAACTTCTACAGCTGTATGCAATCATCAATCCATCTCACATGGTAGTTTCTACCGCTGTATGACATTAATTTATTCCACGAATTCAATATCACGCGACATCTTCTTCCGCTATGACATTAATTGTAACTTTGGATCCAGCACCACGTGACAACTTCTACCGCTTTATGAAATTAATTTAAACAATGAATACATCACCACGTGACAACTTCTACTGCTGTATGACATTAATTGTCGATAATGGCAATGAAGCAGCTTGGGGATTGCTTGATTTTCATTTATCAAAGCAAGGTATCACGTTAAAGGGTTTCATAGAAAACAACCAACATGAGATTTATCATTTATGCTACCATAATAGTCGTTGCTGCCGATGTCATAATGCTACTGTCAATAAACCTCAAAGTAGAATACTCTTTCAAACACAGTTAAACATTCTGCTAGATACCAAAGGAAGCAACATTCCATGCTACTTACCAAAACATGGAAAACCCACTTGTACCCATACGATAAATGACAATTATGCAAATCCAAATATTGCTACAAATCAGTTAGACTTGACGCTTTGTAGGTGCTTATTATTCAATTTTACAAATATACTCCCACACGGATCAGTTGAGAGGACTGCATTTGGAGATCTCATTGATATGCGAAACAAGTGCTGCCATGCTGCTAAAGGAGAAATTCCAAGCAATGATTACCAGGCATATAAATCACAGATTGAACAATGTCTCTTGGCATTAGCTCAAGTATATGGAAAGACCTACGACATGCAACTTAAAATCAAAGATGCGGAGAAACGACCATTTGATGAAAGTATTTGTAAACAGCTGCAGCAAACCATTTTGCAAGAACAAGTATTACAGGTAACTTTTAATTGATTTACAAGTTCTATCAATTATGTCTTTCCTTTTGAGGACAAAACAAAGACTCTCATGGAATTTCGATATCACAATCACGGTTACTTGTCCGCAACTAATGCATTACACCAACGAATAAAACATGTTCGGAAATTGAATATGAAATTTCATCGACTTGATCTCATTACCTTAATCAAATAATTCGCTTGGTCTAGCACTTCTGATGCAAATTACTCCGTTTGGACGAAATGACAGTTCAATAGTTTTTTCATGCAGTCCATATATTTTTGATGAAATTCCAACCTTAAAAAAATACCGTTGGTTGTTCATTATATAATTACAGATATGTATGTGCAAAGTTAAATTTTTGTGTTGCGGGGAGAATTGAAATACCGGGCATCCGTCCGACCGTGCGACTGTCTGTCTTGTTAGCACTCTCATGCGTACAAATCTTGCCAGATTTTATAAAAATGTTATCATATATTTATATCAGCAATATCTCAGACACGTTCGAAAATCAGTGCCGATCAACAATTGTTTTATAAAATAGTAATGCACCTTAAGCTTTGAAATATCAATTATATGGAAAATTGCATTGTTAGAATTATCATCTGTACATTTCATGTCAGATTTTTATGAAACATATATCTTAGGTTTATATCAACAATGTCTCGGACAATTTCAAAACTCCGTGCCGATTAATTATTTTCAAGAGAGTTATGTCCCTTGCAAATATTTATTATATGGGAATAACATTGTAAGCTCTCTCACGTGTACATTTTCTGCCAGATCTTAATAATAAAACTTATACCAAAGGTTTATATCAGCATTGTCTTTGACAATTTAAAAAATTAGTGCCTATAAAAAGTTAAGAGTTATGTTCCTTTGATATATCTAATGATATTGGAAGTTGCATTGCATTGCACTTGCTCTCGAGCTTCATTTTTCACAAATTTTCAACAGCAACTTTTTTCAGTGATTGCCCTTAGTCAGATATAATATGTTCAACGCAAGGAAATTGAAACTCTGTTCTTTTATTGAATTTAACTCAAAGCTCGGTATTTTTGTTTTACGTTTTCATTTTACAACTAGGAACATTTTTTAAATAATATCCTCTCATATTCCCATGCACAAATATAAACGTGTATAATCGCTACCACATTTTGACAGACGTTCATCAAGCTTTTGAATCTTAAAAAACTTTTTAAGTGTTTTATTTGAACCATTGTTTGCGCTACAATGGTTAAAATTTATATTATCATTAAAAATGTCAAAATTAATTATACGGATGCAAAAATTACATTGGCAAAAGCCGAATTTAGTAAAAAGAACTATAGGAAAATCCTTCTCACTGGAACCTCTGATCGATATATAATTGATTTTCATTATAACGTTCGATTCCGTTCGACATACCGACCAAAAGACCTTGAGGAAAAAACGTTCGACTATGTTTTCTTGGCTTCTATTAGAGGGAATGATTTAATATTTGGTCTTTATCTTGATAATGTTGAGTTGTAGCGAGTTAGTAATGTTTACATCCGCCGTGTAGCCACTTCCTGTTTGCCGATAGTTTGAAGTTTACAACATTCATTGTACAATGAAATTTTTTGTCAACCTTTTCTTATATTCTGTTAAAAGGATTGGTTTTATATTTGATCTACTGGTTGATAATGTTGAGTTTTCGGGAGTAAGAAAATTTTACATCCGCTATGCAACCAGGTCCTGCCTGTTGATAGTTTGAAAGTTCACAATACCGATGTACAAGGAAAATATTTGTGAAAGTTTTCTTGGCTTCAATGAAAGGGAAAGTACTACGGAACTCCCAAAAACATAATTTGAATTCGATATCACGAGTAGATTCAGAAAGGCCTTAAAATGGCCCCCCGTTTTAGCTTAAATTTCAAATAAGGATTTATTGACCAATATCACAATGAATCATAGCAAATACAGTGACTAGATAGGAAATAAGACTTTTTGTTGAAAATTTACGTTCCTGCGTTTTATTTATGACGTCACAAATAGTACTCATTTTGATTTTCTACGAAAAAATCAATGAAAATGGGTAAACTTCCATCGATTATTGGACAGGAAACATAGAGCGCATACGTCGACAACAAAGATCTTTTAAAATAATGTTTGTAATGACATTTTACATGTCTAGTTTAAATATTTAGTTTGTCGACGCCTGTGCCCTATGTTTCCTGGTCCTAAATTTGGATAAAATCCGGCCGATTTTGTAGAATTTCACCAAAATCTCTTATCTTGACCTATTTAGGATGTAAAAATCAACGCTTTAGAATAAATCTTTGACACAAATAGTTTTATTTAAGTTTCTATAGAAGCCCATTTAGGACCTTCCAAAAATATAATTTGAATTCAAAATCACGAATTAAAATCGTTATCACAAATTGTATAATTTGTTAGAACAGATTAAATTTGTGATAACGAATTGGTGAAAATCGTTATAACAGATTTTATAATTCGTATTAACGAATTAAATTCGTTATGAAATTTTTTTGTTATTTGTGATAACGAATTAAAATTGTTATAACAAATTATAAAATTTGTTATAACGGATTATATATACAGTTTTTTTTTGTAATTTGTGATTTCGGATTTCAATTCATTATCACAGATTTCTAGTTCACTTGACCCACAGGGTTAAGTGAGATTTTCTCCTCACTTTGCTCCCGTCGCTGTTCATTAAATTTTACAAAAATCTTCTTTTTTTAAACCTTTTGGCCAAAGTGAAACAAACTTGGTCACAATCAATTTAGTTTTAACGAATTTTATTTGCAAATTTAGAAAAAGGGATTGGACACTTAATTAGGGATATTGTTTGTTTTTTGTTTTTGTAAAGGTGCATAACTAAAGAACGGTAAAAGTGATGCCACCCAATTTCAAACTTGATCTGTGTTTTAAAGTAATAAACATAGTGTAGTAGTTTAATAACATTTGGTTGAGGCAAACTAAATGTAGAGAACGGAAACGACAGAGTTAGCACTTTGTCTATTTATAAAGGGGCATAACTCAAGAACGGTAGAAGTGACGCCATTCAATTTCAAATTTGATCTGTGTTTTGTGGTAATAAGCATAGTGTATAAGTTTTATAACATTTGGTTGAGGCAAACTAAGGTTAGGGGACGGGAACCAATTTTGGGAACGTACGCGACAAACGGACTGGACTGACAGACAAGGACTAGACTTAATGTCCCCATCGCCTAACGGCGGGGGCATACAACATGTGTTTAATACTCATAATTCGTAACCGATACATTTTTATTCATTATTTTTTATTTGAGGTCTTTTTAGACCGGCGATTTCCTTCGTGTGTATCGCTCATGAATATCTTTTACACAGAGGCAACAGAAGTAGTTTTGGCAACATGGTTTATCGAAGTGTAAAACCCAGGAAAGAAAATCGAACAGACTAATCATATTCAAGTTTTTGTAGATATGCTAATAATTTAAGAATTATTTGATAATGACGAAAACATAATAGGAGTGCATGCAATTCAAAAACAAACAACAGATATACGGAAGAAGAAAATGGAATATAATGTGCAAAAGTATATACAAGATAATGTTAGCCTGGAGTGTAGTGAAGTGAGAGAAATAAATAAGGGTATCTACTATAAAGAATGTGTGCGATTAGCCCGCCTGCGGAACAACATGGTCAACATGTGGAATTATTTGTAGATCTTTCTCTCTCATTGATCATTTTCGCTATAATAATTGATTGAAAGATTCTCTCTATCTATTATATTTTTCAAAATAATAGACAAAACACTAAATAAAAAAAAAGACGTTAATAAAGGAAAATTATTTCTATAAATAGTCATCTTACAATTTTAATGTAAATAGACAGTACGTAAATCTTGTGATTCCAAACAATTCTCTTTCTATAGCGGTTTTCAAGATAAAAGAAAAAAACTTGCATTTTACCCTTGTGTTCTATTTAAGGCCATGTTGTCCATTTTGTTTCGCTTGCAGGCTCATTGCACACATTCTTCAAACTAGAAACCATGATTTATTGCTCTCACTTCACTTCACTCCAGGCTAGCCTTATCTACTTGTGCACTTATATTCTATTTTCTTCCTCTTTATATCTTGTATTTATTTTTGAATTACATGCACTCCTATTATGTTTTCGTCATTATTAAATAATTGTTATATTATTAGCATATCAATAAATGTGATTGGTCTGTTAGATTTTCTTTCCTAGGTTTACAAATCGATAAACCATGTTGGCGAAACTACTTTCGTTGCCTCTGTGTAAAATGTATCCATGCGCCATACACACTAATGATATTCGCCGGTCTAAAAAGACTCTAAATGAAAAATAAGGAATAAAAATATATCGGTCAAGAAATATGAGGATTAGACACATTTTTTTTCTGGACATTTTTGGTGTGTAAACTGGGTCGCTGACTAATAAACTTGCATATCAGTTTGTGAGTTAACCCACCAGTTTTACACGACAAAAACTTGTAGGTACAGTTTTTTTGTGTTTATATTTGTACATGGAGAAGAAGTCACTAATTTTGTTTCAGTTTGTGTCCAATCCCTTTTGCTAATTTTGCAAATAAAATGCGTTAAAACTAAATCGCCCCCGATTGTGGTCAAGTTTGTTTCAATTTGGCAAAAAGGTTTCAGTGCAGAAGATTTTTGTAAAAGTAATGAACAGCGATGGGCGTAAAGTGAGGAGAAAAGCTCACTTGACCCTGTGGGTCAGGTGAGCTAAAAATCTGTGATAATGAATTTCAATCCGAAATCACAAATTACAAAAAAACTGTGATAACGAATTCCACAATATAATCCGTTATAACAAATTATACAATTCGTTATTACAAATTACAAAAAATTGTGATAACGAATTTAATTCGTAATTACGAATTATAAAATCTGTTATAACGATTTCCAACAATTCGTTATCACAAATTTAATATGTTATAACAAATTATACAATTCGTGATTTCAAATTATATTTTTGGAAGGTCCTAAATGGGCTTCCGTAAGTTTCTCACATGTCTTTAAGTCAACTTAAAACATTTTTTATCTTGTAACATTGAACTTTATAATCGGGGCCAAATATGGCTCTTACCGAACTTACTCCTTTAGTAAATTCGTTATCACACTTTTTTTGTAATTCGTGATAACGAGATCAAAACGATAGACTGAATTGTACAATTCGTTATCACAAATGTGTGTTAATTGTAACCAGTTTCTTTCGTGATTCGTGATGACTGATTAAATTCGTTATCACAGATTTTTCTAATTCGTGATAACGGTTAAAAATTGTTATAACAAATTGTATGATTCGTGATAAACCGTTATAATTATCTATACAATTTGTTTTCACGAATTACATAAAAATGTGATAACGAATTTAATTCGTAATTACGAATTACAAAAACTGTTACGCAAATTCGTTATCATAAATTTAATATGTTTAGACGAATACTTCAAACTGTCAAAACTGTACGGAAGGCCATTTAGGACCTTCCAAAAATATATTTTGAATTCGAAATCACGAATTGTATAATTTGTTATAACAGATTAAATTTATGATAACGAATTGGTGGAAATCTTATAACAGATTTTGTAATTCGTTATTACGAATAAAATTCGTTATCACAATGTTTGGTAATTTGTGATAACGAATTAAAATCGTTAAAAAGAATGGTATAATTGGTTATAACGGATTACATTCGTGATAACGAATTTGTGGAATTAGTTTTCACAGTTTATTTGTAATTTGTGATTTCGGATTAAAATTCATTATCGCAGATTTTTAGCTCACCTGACTCACAGGGTTAAGTGAGCTTTTCTCCTCACATTGCGCCCGTCACTGTAAATTTGTTTTAGAAAAATCTTCTTCACTTAAACCTTTTGGCCAAAGTGAAACAAACTTGGCCACAATCAATTTCGTTTTAACGAATTTTATTTGCAAAATTAGCAAAAGAGATTGGGCGTTTTATTACGGATATTGTTTGTTTTTTAGGTTTTTTTTATGTAAGGAGGCTCAACTCAAGAATGGTTAATTGTGACGCCGCCCAATTTCAAACTTAATCTGTGTTTTGTAGTAATAAATATTGTGTAGTAGTTTAATAACATTTGGTTGAGGCAGACCAAATGTAGAGAACGGAAACGACAGATTCAGCACTTTGTCCATTTATAAAGGGGGATAACTCAAGAACGGGAAAAGTGACGCCATTCAATTTCAAATTTGATCTGTGTTTTGTGGTAATAAGCGTAGAGTATAAATTTCATAACATTTGTTTGAGGCAAACTAGTAATTTTTGGGGCCCTTTAAAGCTTGCCGTTCGGTGTGGGCCAAGGCTCCGTGTTGAAGTTCGTACTTTGACCTATAATGGTTTACTTTTACAAATTGTGACTTGGATGGAGAGTTGTCTCATTGGCACTCAAACCACATCTTCTTATATCTAATTAGAGAACGGAAACTAGTTTTGGGAACGTACGCGACGGACGGACAGGATTGATGGACAAGGGCTAGGCTTAATGCCCCCATCGCCAAGCGGCGGGGCATAAAAAAATGTGTTTAATACTCAATTTGTAACCGATACATTTTCATTCATTATTTTTTTACTTAAAGTCTTTTAGACTTTTCATTCATTATTTTTTTACTTAAAGTCTTTTAGACTTTTCATTCATTAATTTTTTACTTAAAGTCTTTTAGACTTTTCATTCATTATTTTTTTACTTAAAGTCTTTTAGACCGGCTGTTTCCGTCGTGTGTATCGCCCATGAATAATTTTACACAGAAGAAACAGAAGTAGTTTCGGCAACATGGTTTATCGAAGTGTAAAATCTAGGAAAGAAAATCTTACAGACCAATCACAATCAAGTATTTGTTGATACTGTAGATTCATTTATTTTCATGGGTTTCAATTTTCGTGGATTGAAGAAAACTTGCATTTTCTCGGATATTTGATTTCGTGGTTTTGCAAATCTCTGCTTACAAACAGTATAGAAAATTTGTAATTCGTTGAAAACTTAAATTCGTGGTTCACCTGTACCCACGAAACCCACGAAAATTGGTATCCAACGAATTATAAGGAATCCACAGTATGCTAATAATTTAAGAATTATTTGATAATAACAAAAACATAATAAGAGTACATGTAATTTAGAAACAAACAACAGATATATAAATATGAAGAACATAGAATTTATTTTGCAAACGTATATAAGGTTAGCTTGGAGTGAAATGAAGTGAGAGAAATAAATAAGGGTATCTACTATACAGAATGTGTGTGATGAGCTCGCCTACGGAATACATGGCCAATATTGGCAAAAAATAATACATAAGGGTAGAAAAGGGTCAATTTCCGCTTTCAATCATGTGGAAATATTTGTAGATCTTTGCTTTCTCAGTGATCATTTTTGCTATATACTTGATTGAAAGATTCTCTCTATCTATTATAATTTTCAAAATAAAAGATAAAACTCAAAATAAAAAAAAACGTCAATAAAGGGATATTATTCCTATAAATAGGCATCGTACAATTTTGATGTAAATAGACATAACGTAAAACAGTTTTCATCTATAGCGGTTTTCAAGATAAAAGAAAAAAACTTGCATTTTACCCTTGTGTTCTATTTTAAGCCAAATCGGCCATGTTGTTACGCTGGCAGGCTCATTGCACACATTCTTCAAACTAGATTACCCTAATTTTTTTCTCTCACTTCACGTCCCTCCAGGCTAGCCTTATCTACTTGTGCACTTATATTCTATTTTCTTCCTCTTTATATCTTTGTGTTTGTTTTTGAATTACATGCACTCCTATTATGTTTTCGTCATTATCAAATTATTTTTATATTATTATAGCATATCAACAAGTTCTTGAATGTGATTGGTCTGTTGAATTTTCTTTCCTAGGTTTACACTTCGATAAACCATGTTGGCGAAACTACTTTCGTTGCCTCTGTGTAAAATGTATCCATGCGCGATACACACTAATGATATTCGCCGTTATATAAAGACTTTGAATAAAGAATAAGGAATAAAAATATTACTGGTCAAGAAATATCAGGATTGGACACATTTTGTTCTAAAGATTTTGGGTGTGTAGGTCGCTTGGTACTACATTAATCGTGATAGTAGTTTTGAGTTAAACCACCCGGTTTGAGCTTTTAATTTTGCCTTTTGATTAGGGACTTACCGTTCTGAATTTTTCTCGGAGTTCAGTATTTTTGTGATTTTCCTTTTTTCTAGGTATAATTTTTTGTGTTGATATTTGCACACGGAGAAGACGTCACTAATGTTGTTTCAGTTCGTGTCCAATCCCTTTTGCTAAATTTGCAAATAAAATACGTTAAAACTAAATTGATTGTGGCCACGTTTTTTTCTCACTTTGGTCAAAGGTTTCAGTGAAGAAGATTTTTGTAAAAGTAATGAACAACGACGGGCTCTAAGTGAGGAGAAAAGCTCATGTAACCCTGTGCGTCAGGTGAGCTAATATCACAAATTACAAAAAAACTGTGATAACTAATTCCACAAATTCGTTATCACGAATATAATTCGTTATAACCAATCATACAATTGGTTTTAACGAATTTAATTCGTTATCACAAATTACAAAAAATTGTGATAACGAATTTAATTTGTAATAACGAATTACAAAATCTGTTATAACGATTTCCACCAATTATCACAAGTTTAATCTGTCATATATAGAATCAACCACTGCATCGTGTGTGATACGATATTTATCCACTCGAGACAGTTAAGTTTTCAAATTTTAAAACGCGAGGCTCAATAAATTGATATGGCTTTAAAGAGAGATTTAACTCAAAAGTTGTATCAGCTATGTCAAGTGGTTAAAATTGGGTGTTCAATTAAAAAATGCAAAATGTTTATTTTTAGGGTACGTATATTAGAAAATTATAATTTTAAAACTGTTACGTAAGGAACATAATACAGTTGGTTGACATTTTGGTTATCAAATGGTCCTTTTTGTCTTAGATCCTTGCATTTTATTTCAGACGTATTGTTTTTTCTGCATTACAAGAATCAAATATGCATATTTTTTTAAAGATAAAAATGTTTGGTTCAGTTTCATAACACAACATTCGATTACCTCTGGTCACTCGGTACTGATCAAGGGGGGACACTCCTTACATTGGTTAAAGAATTTTAGAAATCAAATTTCAAGTATAAGATATTGAATCCAGAATTTTGCGGTTTGAATCTTGAAATATATTGTGCGCATACATAAATTTCGATTTGAAATATTTCTTTGCTATTTAGAACATTATTGTATTTTTATTGTCAGGGTGTATTAGGATTGCATAAACATATAGAATCCAGTCAGGAAGCAGAAGAGCGTACGACCATCGAAATACAGAAAATGGGAAAAAGTACAAAGAGAACATTACGAGTAGTAAATTCAAGTATGAAATCAGCAGGACATACTGCCTCGAAAATAAAAAAAATCGAAGAAAGTACAAAGAGAACATTAATGTTTGTAAAGTCAAGTAAAAGATCAGTAGAAGGAAAATTGAAAGTAAATACAGAGAGAACAATGCATGCCATAGATTCAAGTCGAGAAGCAGAAGAAAGTACGGCCACTAAGATTCAAAAGCTTGATGAACGTCTGTCAAAATGTGGTAGGTGATCATACACGTTTATATTTGTGCTTAGGATTATGAGAGGATATCATTTTACAAGTGTTCTTAGTTGTAAAATAAAAGTCATCCCTTTAGAAGTTTTACGGATGGCTCATAATGATTTACCGTTATGAATAAAGTATTCGCTCGGAAAAATATCGACAAAATGAGAACACAATAGAAGACCGCTTTTACGTATAGATAGGTTTCGATTAATACAATTTGAGCCTTTTGTCGCCATGTTAACGAGACTAAGTGCGCGAATTCCTTGTTATAATGACTGCTAAACTTGAGAAAAAAAAGGTTTTTCTGAACGTTTTTTATTGTTGACTCCCACGAAATTCGCGAAAAGCGAGACATAGGTATTGCTTTTCCTGCGGCGACGGCGATGGCGGTGGTGGATGCAGTGACTAGTATAAAACCATTCAAACAGGAAAAGCAACGGTCTAAATTATATAAAAAACGAGAAACACTTATGAACCACATCAACAAACGACAACCCTAATCTGAAACAATCGTATTCAAGTATTTAATACTTATTGTTATTAAAGCCAAATACTTGTAAAGTTTTCCAATTTTTTTGCTGGCATTTGAAATGTTTGTAAGTAAAAGTTTATGCCCTTAAGTTACATGTTTTAAGTACTAATTGGTATTCACTGAGGACAATGACCGAAGTAAATGTCAGTTTTTTTTCAACATTTAATTAAACCTGGCACATATTTATTTGAACAAAAGACTTTTATTCCGTCTTCTGATAGAAAAATCATATGATGAATCTAACCGTGTACATTGTATTTTGATTTTGGAATTTGGGCCCTGTTTTAAATTGGTCCAAATTGATGCCCAAAGAGTCTAAAATTCAAGTTTACTTGAACTCATCAAAATTGAATAATTGTTTTTAACCGGATTTTCGAAGTAAAAATCAGTTATTGATTTGGCGATGTACGGCGGGCGGGCGAGCGGGCGGGCGAGCGGGCGGGCGGCCGGGCGTTTGGGCGGCTGCCAAACAGTGTCTGTTCTTTAACATGAAAACGCTTTGAAGAAATTTCTTCAAATTTAGATATGTTGTTTCCTGTGACTAAATGAAGGTCAAGTTCAATTTTCACGATTTTAGCTTTTCTCGTTGTTCAGTTATAGCCTTTCCCAAGAATTCAATTTTTGATGAATTAATCCATTTCTGTACATAGGGAAATAACTTTATTTTTTAAAATACATTATTAATGATAAATGACATTTTGAATTTTTTTTTCTTTTCTTTGGTAAATTGTGTGAAGAATTTTGTGGTAGGTTTGTTTGTTATTCTGTATAAACTAATTTTCTAAATGCTAAATATATAATTTTTTTTATGAAGTGAACTCCTTTAATTAGAGAACAATCTATTTTTATCATAGGATATATTTCATTACATTTAAATTTGTTGACATTGATAAGTTGCAGATCTGTATTAGTTTGTGACAAATGAAAGAAAAAATTTGGAACTATTTATTATATTTGATTATAATTTGAAAATAGATAGTCTCTTGTTCTATGATATGACAAATCTAACCGTGTATTTAGATTTGTAATGTAGTTTCCCTTTTCAAATTTGTCTATAATTAGGTCCAAAGGGTCCAAATTCAAAGTTACGTTGATTTAAACAAAATTGAATTCTTGAGGTTCTCGGATACGCTGAATATAAACATGTACTTATATTTTTATTTTGGGCCTAGTTTAATTTTCAGTTGGTCCAAATCGAGATCCAAAATTAAACTTTGTATAACATATTAAAATCGAAAATATGGGGTACTTTGATATAATGAATCTAACCTTGTGTTTAAATTTTGAAGTTTGGGTCCCGTTATCAAATTGGTCTACATTGAGGTCCAAAAGGACCCAATTCTTTGGGTTCATTGATATGCTGAATCTAATCATGTATTTTGATTTTGAATATTGGATCATATATGGTAAATGTTCAATTTCAATTATTTAAGTTCTTAAACCACATTCATTCTGTGTCAGAAACATATGATGTGTCAAATATTTAACAGCAATCCAAATTCAGAGCTGTATCAAGCTTGAATATTGTGTTTATACTTGCCCTAACTGTTCAGGGTTCGATTTCAGCAGTTGTATCAAGCTGCGCCAATTTTATTCTACTTGATTACACATATTATTTTCTTTTTTAGAGACATCCAAAAGGAGTCGACTTCTAGGTAAGATATGTTTAAACGCAATTTTAGACAATTCCTAATCTGCATTAGTATAGTAGCATTCAATATATCATTTCGGTACAGAGACCTGTGGTCTCATACAGATAAAGAGTCATTGTCTTTTAAGGTTTGATGATGTTCAAAACTGATAAACCTAATTAAACAGATTTAGAAAAAAATACACTCAATGTAATATAATCTCGTATTTTACTATGGTATTCAGTGAAAAAAGCATGGATTAATGTTTCAATTCGATTTTAAAACCAATTAAAAAGTTTGTTTCTGAGTATTTTCTTCCTATGGTTTCACTAAAGCAGCATGTACAATTAGTGTTTAAAAATTATAAGGATTGTGTTAGAGTTTTCAAATTAATATCAAAATGAATTTAAAAGTGTAAAGATATTTTTACTCTCGCAGAAAATTAAAACATTTTTTGCTTTTCTCCATTGTATATATGCAATGCCATAGTTTTGATTGATCGTTTTGAAATAAATGTATTGCAGATGACCACATATATGTTACAATTGCCGTAGCCTCAATCCATATTTTTTTCTCTCTCGATTTTGCTCTCACCCAATGGGACTTATCACTGAGTTTTTCCTTAACTTGATTAAAATGTTAGGTGCCACATACGGAAATTGTTCTGCTTACCCTTCTTGAGGACTTAATGATTTTGTTTGGGTTCCTTTGATGTGTTTTGTATACCCTTGCTTGTCTTTTTGTCGTTTCTCTTTTATTTTGCCACTATGTTGTCATTTTTTGTCTCGCCGGCGATGAAAGTCGCAGTTTTCTAGACATAGGTATTACTATCCGGCGTCGGCGGCGGCGTAAACTATTTGTATAAAGCTATATATTTCAAATGGGGGAAGACCTGGATGTTTCATATCTTGTTTCCGTCTGTCATATGTCCAATGTCCTTGACCTCATAAACATGGTTTAGCGACTGCTTAAAAAAAAATTGTAATGTGAATTTCTCACTAATTATTAGTAATAGAATAACTATATTTGGTATATGTGTTCCTTGCAACGTCTACATGTTCGTCAGACAGGATTCACCTGACCACGACCTCATTTCATGGATCAGTCATCAAGGTTAAAGTTACATGATTAGGTCCGTTTCTCAAATACTATAGCAGGAGGATAACTATATGTGGTGTATGGAATGACTGCAATGGGTACATGTCAGTCTGGAAGGTTTTATCTGACCTTGACCTCATTTTCATGGTTCATTGGTCAATATATAGTTTTTGTGTTTTGGTCTGTTTTTCAAGTACTATAAGTCATAGATCAACTATATTTGGTGTGTGGAATGATTGTAAGGTGTACATGTTTGTCTGGCAGGTATCAACTGACCTTGGCCTCATTTTCATGGTTCATTGGTCAATGTTAAGTTTTTGTGTTTTGGTCTGTTTTTCAAGTACTAGTAATAAGTCAACTAAATTTAGTGTATGATATGATTGTAAGGTATGCACGTCTAGCCAGTATCATACGACCTTGAGCTCATTTTCATGGTTCATTGGTCAATGATACATTTTGGTAATTTTGTCAGTCTATCAGATACTTTAAACAACAGGTCAACTATATTTAGTGTACTGAATGATTGTACATGTCTGTCTGCCTGGTTCATCTGACCATGACCTCATTATCATAAAAAAATGATAATGTTATGTTTATGTGATACTTGTGGTAAAACATTCATGTTACAGACTTTCAACATAAATTCAATGATAAATAAAACAGGCGAGACATTTCAGTGTGTGAACTCTTGTTTACCTTTAGAATGCCGTCTAGCTATCCCCATCTCTTTAATTATTTCGTAGTAAGGTCATTTTCTTCACTTATATTCACAGAATCACGGCTTCAAGTATTAATACAATTTGTCCAGCTTCAAATCATACTAAGTCTTATAATGATAAATAAGTTTTAAATCGCATCATGACGTGCGTTTTGTCAACCTAAGACACCTAAAACTCTAGTCGAACACATTATTCTAATTCAACAATTCGACAAGTTTTTGCCCGTCCTCTAAATAATTCTACGTACTAGGCGGAGAAGCAACAAAAACCAATTTCCAAGTGTGGATCAAAACACGATTTGTATTAATCCTTGATTCGCTAGAAAATGACATCATCGTAATTTTGCGTTGATTAAATGACAATTATAATAAGTATAATTTGTCGCTGTCATTTATATCTTGCAATGTTTCACAAAAAATATAATTAAATGTAAAACTGTTAGAATAGGATGTCTTTATATACCTCGGTCAGATTTGCATGATAATTCACAGATGTATGTCCAATACACGATGTAGTTACGATATAGATGATATCGACGATATCATATCGATATCGATATTAACTTAATCACTATATATCCAATTCATCTACTTCACCAATTGCCCTGGTTCATCAGTTTGTGTCGATATCGACGATATCGTATCGATATCGATGTTCGCAGGATTTACTATAAGACCCCATTTATCTACTTAATGAATAACAGTAAGTTGTGCTTGTTCATCTGTATGTGTCGATATCGATCCGATAACGACGATATTGAATTGTTAGTGACAATTAATTTCTTTTACTCTAAGCATTATGAGGTTCTATTCTTTTTATTATTCCTTAGTTAATGTTATTGATATCATCGACGATATCTACTCGATATCGACATTCCAATTTCCCTTTTTAACCAGATTTTCGAAGGAAATATCGGTTATCAAAATGGGGATGTACGGGGGGCGGCTGGGCGGGCTGAAGGGCCGCTGCCAAACAGTTTCAGCACAATAACATGAAAACGCTTTAACAAATTTTTTTCAAATTTAAATATGTTGTTTCCTGGGACTTAATGAAGGTCTAGTTCAATTTACAAGATTTTAGTATTTCTCCTTTTTGAGTTATCGCCATTTTCAATATCCAAAAGTGGAATTTTTAAATATTTTACTCTTGTTATCATGTTATGATTTGTCTTATCTCACAATAAAAATTGGAGTGACAGATTTATTTGAAAATTATCTCTTTCCTAAGTGGTAATGATTATAAGCTATATCATTAGACATTTTGAAGATTATTACATTATTAATTATTATATATGTAATGTTAGAGTGCTATGTTAAACCATAGTTCTGTTCAGTTAGATCTGGGAAATATTTTAGCATATGATAATGATTTATTTTCATTATTAATTAGATCTTGGAAATATTTTAGCATATGATAATCATTGGAGTGACAGATTTATTTGAAAATTATCTGTTTTCTGATAATAAGATCTGTAGGACTGTATATATAAAGTTTGAAACTTACTAGTAGGATTGTATAAATGAAGTTTGAAATTTACTGTTCATTATTAAAAAAATTGTAGATAATTAAGTGTCCCTAAATCATATATATTCTTACCTCTACCCCCCCTTCAATTTGAGAATGTGCTTTTATCTTGTAAACGGTCGAGATCCCCACCCCTAAACCATATATATTCTTGTATTGGGCAATAAAACAAATCAAATGAAACATAAGGATAGTCCTTGGTTTCACACCTACCTTCCTTTTTTTGAAAACTTGTAAATGTGCAAGCTCCCCACCCTGAAACCATATATATTCTTGTATGTTACAATAAAACAAATCAAATGAAATAAAAGGTGAGTCCCCTGGGGTCACCCCCACCCTGTTCTGTTTGAGAACTTGTAAACGGTCATGATCCCTACCCCTAAACCATATATATTCTTGTATAGATACAAATAAATAAAACAAATCAAATGAAATTTAGGGGAAGTCCACGAGGGTAAACCCCATCCCCTTCTTTTTGAAAACTTGTAAACGGTTGAGATCCCCATCCCTAAACCATATATAATCTTTTATGGGACAATAAAACATATCAAATGAAAATTAGGGGAAGTCCCTTGGGTAACCCCGACCCCCTTTTTTTTGAAAACTTGTAAACAGTCAAGATCCCCACCCTGAAGCTATTTTTCTTCTTGTATATTACAATAAAACAAATCAAATGAAATAAAAGTCGAGTCCCCCGGGGTCTTTTTTTTGATTGAGTTATTTTCCTTTGAACAGAAATTGTTTATTATATACATAAAGTTTGATTACACTAAGCCTTTATAGATAATTTTTACCAGTTTATATGTCCTGTAATCAGTTTACTAAACATATGGTTAATGTCTTATCTTGAGTGACAGATTTATTTGAAAATTTTCTGTTTTTTTAAGTGTTGATGATTCAAAGCTATATAGTAGTATATATAGTTAGAAATTTACTGTTCATTATTAGACATTTTGAAGATAATTACAGATAAGTTTTATAGATTTTTAAAAGACATTGTATTAATGATAAATAAAAAATTTTCTTTTTTTTCTTTACTTTGGTAAATTGTAAATTGTTTGTTATTCTGTAAAAACTAATTTTCTGAATGCTGTATATATATTTTTTGATTAGGTGAACTCCTTTTAAAACCTAGCTTATATTGTCTATAAAAAATATATATTTAGATTCCTGATTTTGGGCCCAGTTTTCAAGTTGGTCCAAATCAGGGTCCAAAATTAAACTGTGTTTGATTTCAACATAAATTGAATATATAAAGGGTTCTTTGAAATGCTGAATTTAAACCTGTATTTATTTTCATTATTAGTTAGATAATACCACATCGAGGTACTAAGGGTCCTAAATTAAACTTTTGTTTAATCAACAATTGAATTCTTGGGTTCTTTGATATGCTGATTTTAACAATGTTTGAGTGTTCAATCATATCTAATTTAAGAGAACTAAGTCATCACTGGTTGTTGTTATTATATTATTGATTATAATTTGAAAAATTACATCATTTCTAATATCATAGAACTTAGTCATCACTTTATTCATTATAATCATATCTATTTATCAAGTTTGAGTTATTTCCCTTTGCACAGAAAATATATGGATAAAATTAAATTGTGTTTCATTTCAACTTAAATTAAATATATATAGGGTTCTTTCATATGCTGAATCTAAACCTGTATTTAAATATTA